ATAGTTTCGTTTGTTTTTTATATAGAATGTTTACCTTATATTTTTTTTATATTATTTCTTTTTTTCGATTAATTTTATTTTGGCCAGATGTGATCTTTTAATTTTGTTCTATTTCGTTATCCTCAAGGGACTGTGTCCCAGAATAAAATTATTTTTCTATCTATCTATCTATCTACTTATCTTCCAAACATAATATTTATATAAAACAACTAAGTATCTGTAACAAAATTTTTTTTCATAATGAATTATATTTTTTAAATATATATATATATTTTTTAAACTTATTTATTGAAAAATACTACAATCTGTCTCAAGGAAATTTATAATAGTGTTCAGAGATCACATTCACACTCTATGTATAATAAATTAGACAGAAAAATAATATATATATATATATACAATAAATAAGAATAAAATAACCTAAAAATTAATAAATACAAAGAACACATACATACGTATATACAATATTTACAATATGGCAAGAAAACTCCAAACCAGACTTGTCCTTCCAACTGTGAAATGAAAATCATGACTCCAGGAGATTCCTTCACTTCTCTCTCAACCGCGCCACTGAAGCTAAACCCAGTGGAAATTGAGCAAGAGTGCTTTTTTTTTTAAATTAAATAATTATTTTTTTTTGTAAATCCTATTTCAGTTTTATTATTATATGTACATGAATTGAATCAAATAATAAAATGGTATACTACCATTAATAATTTAAAAAAAAAAACTGTACCAACAAGGCTCTTGGGTTCAGTACTAATTAGGGTAAGTACTGTTTCGTAGTCCACCGTTGTGCAAGGAGATGATTTGACCGAGATCACGCTCACCCAACAGGTTTTCCCTCTTAATTACTTATTTTAATTAAGAGTACCCAATTTTTAGAGGCTGGGTGTGCCCCACTAGGATCTCTCGATCCCAGGATCATCCGACATTAATAATCATTAACAATGAATAATGAGCATTATTTAAAAACTTAATATTATTGCTCTATGATTTTAAAAATATTTATACTTATTGAGATCACGAAATGAATACTTTACTAAAGAACAATATATTATATTCGATATTATACCTTGTAATATTATCTATTTGCGTGATATTGGATCCAAACATAATATCAGTTCTATTATTTGGTATTTGTTTGACAAAATAATTTAAATTCTTCAGAAATCATTTTGTTATGGAGACCGTTGGAAAGAGAGACAGTATTAATCATTTCACGGACGGAGTTGGGAAATTGGAAAAGAAGTTTTATTTTCGTTTCCGATTGAATTAATTTAGTCTTAAGTGGTCTTTTGAAAGCCTTTATTTATTTATGGAAGCCTTTTACGACTTCCAAATGCTTTAGTTGAAGTAATTGTATCGTTTTATCAAAATATTTTTAACTCAAAATATATTTTAAACTCTAATATTCACTACGGAAATAAAATAACTTCTTTGTAACTGGTGAAATATTTTATTTTAAAAAAAATTGAATTGTATATTTGATTAATATTATCAGACGTATTAAAACGTAAGTACAGCAATCGTAAATTAAATTAATCGCACAAATCCAACAGTTAATTTTAGAATATATAAATTTCCGACATGCGGTTTTCGACGGATCTATACGTTCCAGAGCTCCCTGAGCTCGAAAAACACATTGGTCTGTCTGTCTGTGCAAAGATTTTCTCGGAAACTAGTGCATCAATTTAAAAAATAAGAAAAGAAAAGAAACATGAAATTCCCTTTAAAACTATATAAAAATTGTCCATTTCGGACAACTATTAACGAAGTTATAGCTATTCAATTTCCAATGTAAGATTACAGGTACATATCCTGGTCTCAGAAAGGGATGAATGAGAGAAAAAAGATAACTTAGTAGAAGTAAGAAAATCTGTTATCATCAAACAAGCTTCACTACTTTTAACTCAAGCTTACTACTTGTTTGACAAAATTAAACAAAACAATATGGAAAAAAATATTGTTTGATAAGCAATATTAGAGGACATTGAAATTTTTACACTGATCTCCCTTAAGCTGGTTTACATTGTTTCAGTTTATCAAATAAATCGTACCCAAATCTTTGCTTTGAAATAAATCTAATTCAATTTTTTTTGTTTCTTGATGAACATATGTAAAGATATAAAAACTTTTCTGAAATAGGTAGGAAATTCGTGTGAGTGGATACACCAGGTTTTTTAAAATTAATGTTGCAGTCGTATAGTTACAAGATTGTCGGAATTAATTTCAGTGAACAAATCTTTTTGACAAATAGTTTTTTTTTAAATTATAATTATAGAAGACGGGTTTGTTTTTTTTTATTGCTAAATATTACAATCTGTCTCAATTAAAGACATTTATAATATAATTCAGAGGGGAAATTCGCTTCTTAATTACAAAACATTAATAAATGAAGTAATACATACAACATGATACATTGAAAAAATAAACTTTAAAAGTAAAATAAACATCTTAGACACGGGCATACACTATTTACAATTAACCAAGGGAACTCCAAACCAGTGTTGTCCCCTCGCTTGTGGAGGGAGAAGATGTACTGCAGAAGTCAGAGCTAACCGATGTTAGCTTGAGAAGGTTAATATCGGTATATCAATGTTCAATTAATTCAGCTTTAATATCATACAGGTCTCAACCTCATTGATGTTGCTTAATAGAGCTGAAATGCCGAATCTTCAAAACTCCTTGCTCTGAAGTATCTTAAATTTCGTTTATTAAAAAAAAAATTAATTGTCTCTTATTGTCAACAACAATAAAAATGACTGAACATAGCGCATGAAACAATTTTATAATTGACTACAGAAGAAAAAGAGGAAAAGTGTTTTTCAGGTTAAAAACGAATTTACGGAAATAATTATCCGAATATATATGTATAATATATATACAGTTGAAAAGCTGAGATTTTTAGATAAGTAATATGTAACTTAGTAAGTCTTAGAATAATAACTTTGGTTCCGAATTTATATTTAAACAATTAAATATCTATCGCACATTAATTCAGGAAAATTATTATGTAACATTTTAGAAACTAATATGAATATTGATGAATCCCTCGTAAACTCAACATATCACCCCATAGTGACACTTGAGATATCAATGGTAGGCAGTGAAAATCTTGGTAACACCATTTTTCTAAAATTTACTGGAGAAAAAAAGAATTTAAGAACTAATAGTAGTACAATCCATAATAATTTATATGTTGAATTTACAGATGCACTTTCAAACCTCTATAAGAACATATAGCTCCGAGAATGGAGTTATATATATAACAATATATATTATATTGTTGAAGTTACGAGGTATTTATTGTTTATCGTCAATATAATAATCGTCAATTATTTTTGTGGCCTTAGTGAGTTGTTACAGGGTAGCTGTTACTTTTGAGGTTTAGCTCTGTTAACTTCAATAACTTTGTAAAAGCCCAACATTGCCAGAGGAAATAACTCCTATTTGATGTAGGAAAAGTTATGTAATGCTCGTACAAGATTTGTTTATGTTTTATTACCCTACCCAGAGATAATATATGTTGTAAATTCATTTTTTATTTCGTTCAAAAAGATTAGTTAAATTAAAATGATATTTTTTTCGACTAGGAAAAATTAGTAGGAACTAAGCAGGAAAAAATAATTTTTAACTAAAAAAATAATTTAATTGATTTACATTTTTTTGCTGCTAGAAAGCCCACTGTGTTCCTTCCGTTAGATTCCAGTAGGGCTATTAAATAAATAACGTTGTTACAGCCCTGGCCGTTGATACAGTTTGGCTTCTCTCCCCCGGCAAAGAGCTATTAGCCGTTTTCCTTCTACCAGAGCCTTATTAAAAATTCTTGTTAAGCCGATAATCCAAGGTGTTGATACTGTTAAACAGAATGTAATATCGAAGGGGGCGGAAACCCCGTGAATACCACACCTTTGCTAAGCAGCTCCACCCTTATATCCTCTTATTAAACGACATAAATCCACATATTTATACGGGCAGCTTGCCTCCGTTTCTGCCTCCGAATCTTAAATACCGCTCCATAACTTTTTGTATTATTGGCTCTGAGTTCAGAAAATAGCGTTTTCATAAATTCTATCTCAAGTAATAACGAGGAAAGAGGCAAAAAAATATGAATATGAAGCAATTCCAAAAGAATTCGCATTTATGTTACCGGAATTATTAATTCTCTAGCGATATAGGGGTTCAATGAATGAATGAAATAAATATGTTTGTTGTATCTATCAATCCAAGTAAGGTATGAAAATTAGAATAAGATAACTAATACCTGAATTAAAGTTGACGTAGCTTCACAATACCTTGTTTAATTTACTTGGAATTTAATAAATCTGAATCAGCCTAGCAGAATGCTCCATAACTTCCATCCAACAATTATTGCAGTCATATTTTTACTTTATTATCATGGTTACAATCAGCCTCTGCCCTGTTACATTTCATAAATCTCTTGCTTTGGTTCTGTATAATTCAAACTATGTTTGGCGATGCTACACATGATACGACATGAATATTTAGATTTAATTTAAATGGTAAAAGATTAGTTTGGTTTCCATATTTCTGCCCTTTCATATGAAAGAGAATTAAATAAATTAAGGAGAAAATGTTATAAAAAGATCGTTTTTATTAACATGATTACAAATATAATACTTCTAATATTATACTATAGTTTGAGGTAGGTAGAATAGGGGTTTTAGGGCAATAAATTACTAGAATTCATAACTAATAATATTGTCATTTCTTAACTCGTATAATATTATTTTACATTTTGTAGGTTTGTTGTGTATAGTTTTATGTTACAATTTGTATGTTTTGTTTTGTGTTGTTATCTCATAAATTTCGAGTATTTAAGTTTCATGAATAAAAACATCAACTGCTTAAAAAAAACATATAATTATTTTTTTATGCATTGCTTGTATAATTTCGAATGTATTCACACATCGTATAAATTGTATTCATTATCCTATATGCTCTCTTACACATCTTTACAACAATAAGTAATGACTCTAGGCAGTTGGAATTGCAATGGAGTAAGGACACAGATCGAAAAGGTAGAGGATCTGATGGACCAGAAATCTAGATGGGTCATCACCGCCATCCAAGAACAATATCCTTCTGAAGAAATTGATATAAACACTCCATTACGAACATTAGGTGTTAATAGTGGACTCTTATACGTTTCCTTTAACTATATGTAATATTTACCTCTCTCCAAGCTAACTAATTGATGAACCTGCTCTGCTACAACTGATTAGCATTCCATCTCTCTACACCTTATGTTTTAACTGACGACCTAAATGGTCCACATGTATCCCCCATGATCAACCACAAATAACAGTAGAGAAAACACAATAAAACGTTTTATTGACCCAACGGATAGGATTATACTGAACAATGAGAAAATTACTTATATAAGTCCACACTACAGAGCCCCTTCATCCATAAACATCAGCTTTTGTTGACCTAGTGTGCTAAATAAAGTGATCTGGAATACTTTTCCAGACCAGCATGGGAGGTACCATTTCCCCCTTATCATCATATGCTTTACGATATCATGATATGCTTCCTCCTGTTCAGAAATAATTTAGATGGATCATTGAAAAGGCAAACTGGGAACTTTTTTATTAAAAATGTTCCCTCATATTTCGAAATTACGCAGATAATATCGATGTTATGATTTTCAAGATCACAAAAAAAATACCAGAAGCTGCAGAAGAAAGTATACCGAAGTCTAGCCCCTGGTTTGATGATGAATGCCGCCAGGCTATTAGAGAAAGAAATAGATCCCTTAGTAATTAAAAAAAAAATCCTTCTACAACCAATTATATTCAACAAAAAAATGCAAGGCCAAAGCCAGAAACATGGTGAAATAAAATAAGAAAATCTCTTGGCTCTTCTATCTGGAACAGATTAATACATATACTCTCATTAGAAATATATGGAATAAAATAAACTCCATCAGAGACGTCCATTATTCCAATCCAATAACACTTAAAATAAATAATCAAATAATTTCAAACCCCGAGACAATAGCCGAATCTTTTGTAGAATATTTCTCAAGCACTCTATCAAATTTTGAAGACCCATCACCAACCCCAGATATCCAGATAGAGACCATAGTGAACTCTCCTACAAAAAAAAGTTATTTCTATAACGCTCCTTTCTCAATTATTGAACTTGAAGCAACTGAAGCCACCGTCATCCATGACATCCATAACCTCATAATAAAAAATCTGCATACATCTGGTAAACATGCCCTCCTACTTCTTTATAATAAAATCTGAACAACCCAAAAAATTCACAGTGTCATGGCGAGAATCAATTGTTACAGTTACTATAGTTTGATGTGGCGTTTTACCAAATGAATAAAAGAAGACGTTGGACGGTATAAAGTGCTGAATGCAAATTAAGTTATTCTAACGAATTCGACCAGAGTTATCATAGTCAAGATAACGCTAGTATAATTAGTATGGGAGGACGTGCAGCCCTAGTTCATAATTATAGAATATCCAGACTATTCCGAGAGTCATTAGCCTCGGTTGAAAAGAATTTAAATGATCCACTACAGAGCGCGCTGTAGGCAGTAATGTAAAATTCCGCATTTATATTCCAGAGGGCAGCAGCGCTCGCGGCGTGATGGATGCCCATTGCTCGTCCCCAGCGTTTCATAATGGCCGAGGCAGTAGTTCTTGTTCACTGCTCTGGGCAGATTGGTTTATGGCAGCTCTATGAATCATTCTGATTTATCGTCAGGTAGAGGCTGTTGTGAATTCGACGTATTAGCGGATTCTCAATTTTCAAAAAAAAAAAAAAAAAAGAAAGGGAAGAAATGGATTTCGGAGTCTGTAATTATTAGACCGAAAAGAATGGACACGGATGCATTTGGCGCAACTACTGCAGCTCTAGCTGAAATTAAGTTACATGCAGGCGTGGACCTTGTCAGAGGTCATTAGTGGTAATTCTGATTCCCCCCTAAGCTCAATGTGATTTCATTCAGTGAAAATTATTTGAAAATACAGTTTAGGCTTTTAACATCTCATTAAAAACATCGTAATTCTTTATCTTAAATCGTAATTTCTATAAACTTTACATTATAGAAATTCAAAATAGAAAAAGTATGATAATCGCTTTCTTTGTTTAATCAATTTTAAAAAAATTAAAGATACGTGTAATAATAACACTTAAAATAAATTAATAATTTATATTCTATTTATGTACATTTTTTTCTTGCCTCTATCCTCAAGTGTCAATGACATTTTACTACGATTTAAATTCTTTTATAATACTATATTAACATAAAAAATTCAAACAAAGTATTGATTCTTTCTTCAGTATCTTGAAGGATTTCTCTAATGTTTTGGCTAAGCCTGTTTTTTTGCATGTAACTTTCAAATTGAGAACATTCTTTCAGTAAATGTTTCACTGTTTCTGGAACGTGGCGCTTCGAGTCCTTTCAGAAGGTAGCCATGTGTAAACTGGCAGTGTCCTATTCTTAGTCGGCAAAGTTTAATTTCTTCTCTCCTTGAACTTCTGTAGCTTATGAGCGATTTGTCGCAATTAGGTTTTGTTCATATTTTTTTCTTCCATTCCGTTAGTAGCCTTTTATTTACATTTATATACTATTTATTTACAGAAATGCCTATTTACAATTCTTAATGAACTGAACGGATATGAAGTGATTAAATAGGCGACTTTGAAAAGTGAATGGAGTTACATGAAGGCGAGGATCGAGTAATGAATGATCGGCCGAAAGCCACGTTTCATCGGACCACTGTATATAAAGCTGAGAACCGAGAACAAGTGCTACAGGGATGAACATAGGATTTGAATTGAAGGAGCGTGGAGCTATAAGATGGACAGCTGGATTGAATTACTTGGAAGAGGAACGATATCAGCCAGTATTTACTACCATAGTAAGGATAATTCCACTTCAACTCTTTATATAAAAATAGGAGCATGATTTCTGTACAAATTAGTCGACGGCTTGTCAATGCCAATAGTTGTTATTTTAGCCTGAACAGCAACCTTAAAAATTCATCAGTATCTCGCCGTCTAGTGTCATTAGTACAGGACCTTCATCAAACCTGCCCTAACTTACGGCTTGTAATCCAGCAGTCTTGTAAGTTCAGTTGCAAAAGCACTACTTTTGTTTTTTAAGGAAAATACTATGCCACAAATTTGGAATTGTGAAAGACGGTAGCGATTGAAGAAGGAGAAGGAATGGAGTGGTTTATGGGCGATTTGGATGGTCAGATCTATATATATGCATAATAAGACTGGGAACGTGAGTCTTCCTTCATTTGTCGATTGCCAACAGAGGAAATTCACAAGAAGTTGCTGGATAGGAGATAATATAGGACCAGTGGAAGAGACAGATCTCGATTAAGATAGTGGACGATTCGTGTGATGAGGTGCGCTAGGGAATTACTGGTTACTTACAACTGGCAACACCGTCTCAAGCGCCCAGGATAGATTGACCTGACAAAGAATCATTGATGAGGCACAGGGCGTCTGTAGCGTCACAGTAGTACGTACATATTATAGAAGAATTGGAATTCGTAAGAAACTTAGGAAGTAACTGTATGCTTATTTTTATTTATTTTTTGTATAGTTAGCAAATATAAATGAATAAGGAATTCTACACAAATAATTTATATGGGAACGAAGGAAGGAAATAGTTCTAATGAGACATCATAGAAATCGGGAGTTGTTTTGTTACGTTATTGTTAGAGTAGATGGAGAAGCTCTGAATAAAGTTTATAACGATCGGAATAAACAAACAAGGAAATGTTGTTCATAGAGAAGTTTAAAGCTATATAAAAGCCAAAAGTGCGACTGGAAACTTTCAAGTTCATCGTTAAAGCCGCATAAACCAAATGATTCTAGACTTAATCAATATGAGTTTTTTTGAGGGAAGATTTCACAGAATCTATTTTGTTCCTTTCAGAGGCCTTTTTACACGGTAAGTAGTATTGAATCGTGATTTAACAAGGGCTAAAGATAAAATTTAATAAAAATTGAACGTCTAAGATGGACAGGATATGTTTCATGTATGAATGATCATAAAGTTCCCAAACCGTTCTAGGAACAAAAAAATTTCAAGACGTAGAACAGTTGGAAGAATTCGCTTGAGTCGGATGAACTATGTGGCATTCCATGCTCAAATGTCATTTGAAATAAGAAATTGGAAAGCAACAGTATAAAACCAAGAAGACTGAGGGACCTTAACTCTTCTCCAGCTGTAGAGCCATCGAAGAAGAAAATAGTGTTGAATCAATATCCAATTTTGTCAATATATATTCAGAGGGGTTCGTCAAAACAATAATATCGACGTCAATAAAACTTGTTGAAATCTATATTTTAAAAAATATTATTCTTAAAAAAATACTAAATCTAAATATTTTTCCAATTATCACTTCCGTAACAACAAAAAACACAAATCTTAAATTTCTTATCTTTCTACTGGAAATTGAGTAATTGTTTATATAAACAACTTTTTTATTTGTAGATCTCGATCTCTACTATTACCCTTTTAAACATTTATCTCAACTTAAAGGACACCCTGGATATTAAATCAGCATATTTAATATGTATGGATCTAGACCTTCATGGCCCATGGATGATATTACTTTACTGATATTACTCTTGGTTAGGAAGGGGGGACTGTCGTCCAAGATGAAGGGGAGTCGTCTCTCTGGATAAATTTGAACATTTTAAGGGAAAATAGCAGCACTTCATGTTAGTGAAATGTTTGAATTTACTCTCATAACTTATTTAATGTATGGTATTTTAGCACTAACTTTTATGTTCTGTTTTTTTCAAACGCAATTTTTGTTCGTAATGTCACAAATTTCAAATCCATAATTTTTGTTAAATTGCTCTAAATACTTTTAATACTTATTATTTTATTAAAGTTTTTTATAATATATGTAAATATACTTGTACAAGCATTTTCTTTGACAAATGAAATAAATAATTCATTGACTTTCAATACTTAAGAAATTTTATTATTAATATATTTTTTTTAAAACATTCAAACATTTTAATCCTTGAGAAATCTTTTTACCGTAAGTGCCACTGAAGTCACTTTCATATCCGAGGCAGTTAATTATATTTGAAAAAAATAATGGTTTTAAAAACATATACGAATATACACATATTTACTTGGATATTGGAAATCTCTTAAGCGAAAACAGTTCGATCTCCTCAGATTCCATGTCAATTTAGATTCGAAATTATTTCGGACAATCCCTTATAATTGGAAACCGGTTCGGTGGAGATACTTCATTAGGAGGCTTAGTGCACTTCCAAGTCAACAGATTATCATCGACTTAAATCTAGCCGCATTGCCTCAATAGCCAGTTCTTGTTTCTCTCCATCGATTAGTTAATTAAAGCATTTACATTATTTCTCAAAAATCGACGCTGAAATGTTCAAATTAGAAAGAATAGTGTTTTTTTCTTATTTACCCTCATTTTATCTTTGTATAGAGTTCGACTTTTTATTTAATTCTCTATACCAATAGCAAGAATTTATATTTTATATATAGGTATTTAACCTTTAATTTAATTCTATTGCAATTATTTTAATGAAAGGGTTCGTAAACCACTTCTATATTTCGACTGCACGTAAAGGGAACTATAAACAAACGTTATCAGAAACGTGGAGGGCCACAAATTGTCTCACAGATAACAAAGGTGGTGACGTCACAGGCGGTGTTGAGACAATCCAGTATAACTGAGTCCTTGACATTCTCCCTGTTTCATAGCCATCCTAGAATTTAATTGTTCTAACCATCTTATGGAGGTTGGTACTTTCATCTTATTCTTATAGGTTAGATAAATTTTGTTAAACATGACACTAGAATTTAATTAGGCAAATATTTTGAATACGCATTATAATTATGGAAAAAGTCTATGATTTGAAATTTATAAATAAATTTTATTTAAATACGGTTTATTTAATCTTTTTCTTTCCTTTATATCAGAATTTATAAACTATCGACCAAAACATATGTAAATTTTATTCGAGTTTTCATTATAATCTTGAGGGCTATAATAAAAGGTTGATTAACTATGGCTGCCCATTGGAAGGCGACTGAAAAAGAGCGGGATGACTGGGTATTATCCATCCCCATGGAAAAATTCAGAACAATTATTCAGTAATTATTCAGAACAACAGTGACAGATGTTATTAGACAAATGGAAAAAAATAAAATACAATTTAAGGTATTTAATTTTTGTATAATTGAATGAAATTTATATGGCGTGCCTAATAGACTTTAATTACATGAATTAAACCACTATTTGCTAAAATGAAATTAACGTTAGTACAACTTTTAATCTTCCTCTAAAACTTAAATTTCTTCCTTCTGGGAAAATTCGAATTTTTCCTATTCATTAATAGCTCAGACTACTGTTACAGTTACAATATTTACAGACTACTGATTATTATTTAAAATAACATAATTAAAAATATTTCTTATTATAAAATATCTTTATCCCTTATGAAATGCAGTCATTAAAGCATTTACTTACTTTCAGACAATTAAACTTCTGAGGAGTTGTAATTTTGTTAAGCTTGTAATTTTACATTAATATATATCCATCCAAATTAAGCAGTGTTCTAATTTGAAGCGGGTCTTATCG